AGATGCTTAATAAATGTTTGCTGAACTAAACTACTTGCTGTCATGTGTCTCTATTGCCTATAGAGCTACATGGTCTTTTATTAAATATATTAGAAGCGAGGACATTAAATCCCTCATAATTTCAAACTCAAAATATTTCATTATGTTCACAATAAAATTCCAATACTGGTAACAAATGTTAAATTTCATGCACATTACTTTTTCACAAATACAAAAATACTAACCTTCAAATTCAACTGAGACTTTCCAGTGTAAATTCTGAAGGTGACGACGAAGCTTATGGCTATTACAGGCTCTGAATTTTTCCTTAGGGCACAAAGGACAAGCCTGCTTGTTTCCTTAAAAAGAAAAAAGAATCCATAAAGTACACAATATACTAGTCATTAATGCCTTGATTCAGCTACAAAAGAGGTAACAGGGGGCTCCCCCTCCCACTTCTTAGATAAAGTCTTTCTTAACTTTAGGGGGAAGTCATTGTCCCTGAACCAGGAGGTAGTTAACGATAATTATTGTAGCAAATGACCAGTGATTTTTTTTTACCCTAAAACTCCCTCTGTGGCTATCTGATGCCCTTGTTGCCACTGAGAAGAGAGAGGTTGAGGATGTGATAAACGGTATGATATCCTTCCAGCAAAACTGCCTGCCACAGAGAGCATCACTCTGTATTTTGGACAGGGGAAAGGACAGCAGTTATCACACTCCCAGAGAAACATGTGCTGAGCAGACAGCATCAGTACTTGCTATGTATTCCTCTATCAATCTGCACCAACAAAAACTGTTAACATGTGAAGTTAGGGAAAAGGAAGTGGAAGGAGTAGATGGGATCCAACATAATTGCTGTTGTGAGACTGGGGGCATCGTTAGAACCACTGTCTCCAATACTGAATTTGTAAGTCCTTCTTCTTCAAAATAGAGGTCTTATTTAATTAGAAATGTAAGTTGGGCATGGTAGCTTATGCCTGTAATCCCAGCACTTTGGGAGGCTGAGGTGGGAAGATTGCTTGAGGTCAGGAGTTTGAGACCAGCCTGGGCAACACAGCAAAACGCTATCTCTAAAAAACTCTATCTCTAAACAAAAACAAAAACAAAAACAGCCAGGTGTGGTGGCATGCCCCTGTAGTCCCAGCTACTCAGGAAGCTGAAGCAGGAGAATCGCTTGAGTCCAGCAGTTTGAGGTTGTAGTGAGCTATGATGACACCACTGTAAACTATACTCCAAGCAACACAGTGAGAATTCGTCTCAAAAAACCCGAAAAACCCCAAACAAAAAAGATATGTAATGTAGCTCAAATAAAAACTTTGATAAATACTGTATGACCCAGGCACAGTGGTGCATGCCTATAGTCCCAGCTATTTGGGAAGCTAAGCTAGGAGGATCGCTTGAGGCCAGGAGTTCGAGGCTGCAGTATGCTTTGATCATGCCTGTGAATAGCCACTATACTCTAACATGGGCAACATAGCGAGATCCCACCTCAAAAACAAAAAAGCCAACCAAAAAAGAAGGAAAAAAACTCCATTTACTTTTCTGCAGAGCATGTTTCAGGGGAAAAAAAAATAGTGTATAAAAGAATTAAAAGCTCAAATTTACGTTTAAAGCAATAAAATATGCAGTAATAATCAATAACTCATTTAATAATTTTTAATTCAACAAATATCTTTCACACATAGCACAATATGGTATAGGTACAATTCATCTTTTTATATATACTTCCTACTTCAAAAAAATCATAAGGTAATCTTAAGGATGGAAACCAGCACTAAGTATAGGAGAGCAGAAAGAGAGGAGCTTGGGCCATTGACAACATTGTGAAACTCTTGTACCAGCTCTAAATTGCCTATCTTGGGATTTCTTTTACATGAGAGAATATTAACCTCTATATTATTGGAGACATTGGTTTTTTTGGAACTCTGTTACTTGTAGCCACATGCAATTCCTAACTTACAGACTACACAGCTTTTAGATATCCATGAGTTTATAATTCCCTTGAGGACTTATAAAATGATTTATTCCCATAGCACCTTTGCACATAGAAGGCTATCACTTTCCTCAATAAAAATTTTTTTTTACTACTGTTCTAGTTCATTAGGAATAAACAAGTCTATTCTTAGCAAACTTTTCACAAACTGAAAGATGACAAACTATTAGAAATTAAACAAAAACATGGAAATACCTGCATCAAGATTATCTGAGTTCAATGAATTGGCAGAGTCAAAATCCCCTTCAGTTATGAAAGCTAATTTCTCTAGATCAGCGAGTTGCCTTTGAATTGAGAAGTGTCTCTCTGAAAAGAAATTTTAAGAGTTAGAAGATTATGCTTTAACAATTTGCATTGTAGTTCCATTTTTATTTTATCACATCCCATAGAAGTTTACAATTTTATTTTCTGTGACATAGTCTCCTAGTACCTAGATGGGGAATACTGTTACAACTCAGTTTACAAAATAACAAGTGTGCTTCAGAATGCAAAAAGTTGGGGGAAAACACCCCACTGAATAATTTTACAGTTTTAAAATTTTATCTCATTAGTCAACATCATTTTACAAAAAATGTTTCCACCCTGTACAAAATGCCAAAGAAGGAAATATAAGCTGTGTTTCTTGTCTTCAAAGAACTTTCAATCAGGTGGGAGAGGTTAATACATAAACTTCTAACTATAATACAAGGTAGGATGAAATGAACAGTAGAGGTAGGAGGTAATATGATGTAGGCATACAGAAGAAGGAGTAATTCTAACAAGTGACTTTGAGAACATCTTTACTGAAGAAGTGCCATTTGATTGAGACTAATTGAGATTTGGCGACTGGACTTATAAATTCAAATAACCTCATAAACAAAGGCATGTGGTATAAAATATACAATTGCCCCCATCCTACCCTTGGCTGGAATGTAATGTGTTTGGGGGCATGGAGTGCGAAGAAAAAAAATGTAGCCAAAAATGTATTACAGATCATAGAAGGCATATATTCTATGCAAGTTAGTTTGGACTTTATTCTTCAGGCAATGGTCTTTACAGGTTTTTGAAGAAGTGAACAGTGATATGATTTGAATGCATTTGAGGAGGGTTTCTCTGGCAGTACTATCAAGCATCAGCAAGAAAGGTGAAAAAATTAGTAAGGGGAAGGTACAGAAGATCAGGAGGTATAAGAAGAAACAACAGAATTTGGGATGTGAGGAATAAGGATGAAAGATAAAATCGAACATGATTCTAAGATTTTGAGTTTTTATGGGTTAGAATAATGGTACCATTACTAAAGAAAGTAAAGGAAATCCTTTTCGCAGAAAGGAAGAAGAAAGAGAAAAGGAAATTTAATTTTTGACTTAGTATGTTTGATGCACTATTGGTAGACTATTCTGTAATAATGCCCAGTAGGCAGTTAACAATTTGTTTTTGGAGCTCAGGATGATTCTGGAGATACAAATCATAAGTAACACACATTAGGTGAAACTATGAGAATGAGTAAGAAAGCCTATGAAAAAAGTGTGAAAAAGAGAAGGAAAAAGTCAAGACCCAGTCCTACCTAGTTATGATGATTTCGAATGATTAGACTATCTAAAATTAATTTTAAAATGTGATTAATACATATTTCAATTCTAATTCATTTCAGCTTTCTTAATCATTACTCATTTGTCCCACTAATGCATTTTCAGGTTTCTCGAACATTACACATTCTTCAAATTAAATACTTATAAATTTGAGAACACATGAATAAGTATATTCTTGATTGGGTTGGGAGGATACATTCCTCAATGCTGCTGAACCCACTACTGATTAATATAAA